TATGTCTGTGGACTTACAATACTAAAAACCGGGTTTCAATACCTGTGATGGACACAGCACAGATGGCCCATTGTGTAATGTTTTACTTAATTACAAACAAACAATCTTTCGTTGCTTAGTCTAGTTAAAAGACTTATTTTGATAAAAATCTGAGTATTTTTATTCTTGCAGAATTAGTTGTGTAAAAGCCATTACACTATTCACAATACGGACAAGTAAAGTATAAACAGGACCAAATAGTTTATAAAGACCCGGGTGCAGGGCAGTATTTGGATCATTACTGAATCTTAAAATGCAAATTTGTATTATATGCTGAGCAAAAGAATAATTAAATAATAAAGCTCCAAAAGTTCCTGAATTCAGTTTTTTCAGTGATGTTTTAATGGTATTTGGGTTTTTGATGTCTCTGCCTTTTATTACATAGGATTCTAATTGTTGACTGGGATGTCCACCATGGTCAAGCTACTCAGTATGCTTTTTATGATGATCCTAGGTAAACTTCTTTAATTGTTTTTAATGTGAACTTTAATAAATTTGTTTAACATTTAAGAAAAGCTCAACTATTTAAATATTTCTGACAGTTTTATAACAGATGCAGCATGACTTTTAAATCAAAGTCTTCAAATTTTTGGGGAATTAAAAAAAATAAAAACACAAGCCCTCGTGAAGCCATTCCAATTTCCTTCATTAATTTAAATTGTTTAAAGGTTTCAATGTTTTTAATAAATGTGCTGAATAATGAGCATTGATTATTTATAAACCTACCAAACTGAAGTTGATTCTATTTTTAACCACATGTTTTAAGTGAGCCGTAAGAGCTGAAAAATGTCAGAAATTGTTAAAATTACGTACGTTCTTAACATACAACAGTTATTACATTGAATTAATTAATTTTATATGCATAAACATTCTCTTTTATACTATATTTACTGACTGTTTTCAGACTAAGATGAAGAATGGTGAAAGTAGAAACACTCACTGTAGGATTAGAATAACTCTTTAAGGACAAAATCATAAATAATATTCAACGTTAAACGTTACAACGGCATCCTCATGTAGAGTCGTCAACTTTTTGAAGGCCATAGATA